CGGGGCGTTCGCGGTCTTGTATGTGGCAGTTTTTTGTATTCATTGTTTAGCCGATCGGCGAGGGCCCTGGCCCCCCCCCCTACCCCCCCCTTGGAGTGGATCTTGGTTGTTTTTTGGCGCCTGTTTCGAGCAGGTGGAGCCTCCCCCATCATGGACCCCCTGTTGCAACCAGTCGCAATCAGCAGAGGTCCGGAGCCAGACCCCCCCCTCCCCCTCCCCTTCGGCCCAATGTCGAAACGCCGAATAAAAAAACGCTCACTATGCTCTCTGGATGTGCCGCGAAATAGACACTGCGCTTCCTCCTATCCGCAACCCCTCCGCCGCTGGCGATCTCTTTGAGGCGATCGTCGGCGTCTGCGCACCCTGGGACACCATGTAATTATCACTCGGTCCGCGACTCCGTCCTCTCCCAAGGCGAAGTTGACTCCAGCACGATCCTGGGTATGATGGCCAGCTTCCAAGGCTCCCTCCGGGGAGTCCGCAAACTCGTCTGACGGGGAGGGGGGCCTTTCGCACAGCAGAGGAGGCTCAGAACTGCACCCTCCTTGACTGGCTGGCCTCCCAGCCAGCTGAGAGGGTCACTAAAGTCTTCGAGCGCTTCCAGGCAGGCAAGGAGGGCCCGCACCCCCACCGTTACCCCATCCAGATGACGGATGCACACTGTGCCCGTAGCTCAAAGCCCTCGGCATCTCCCCCCCCCTGACGTCCCAGACGGGCCTCTCGCAGACGCACAGGGACGCATGATGGGTGTCGACCCACCCATACCCCCGCGTGCTGGCTGGTGCCGTGCGTACACCAAACAATCTCCCCCCAGAGCACCTCCACACCCGCTTCTCCCTCCACAATCCCCACTTCCAGTGCGACGAGTGCAACGAAGGGCTCCTCTCCGGCACGCTCATTGGTGGATGGGAGGACCACGCCATGGCCAACTCTCTGGCAGCCAACTGTGCCACTCCGTGGGCGACAGGACAGTGCAGTGGTCGCTGGTGCTACATCCGCTGCCTCACCTCCATGACCGTCCGGCACGCGGAAGACTCTGGATATGAGTGTACGGGCTGGGCTGCTCGTCAGACGGTCATCGACCAGATTGCCGGGGGAATGCGCTCCCCCGCAGATGGATGGATCTCGGCCGAACCTGTCTCCCGTGCGAGAGCCCCCCCCCTCCCCGCCCGACCCCTTGCCCGAGGGCACCCTCCGTTGCCCTGCTGACGTTGCGGAGGCGGAGGATCCCGCCAAAGAGGGCCTTATTCTGCCCTCGCACCTGACCCACGACTCGCGCTTCGTCCCCGGCCACCCGGGCCACATGCGGCACCTGCACGCGACCCGTTGGCAAGCGGCGCCCCCGGCGACCCCCCGCAGTGAGCCCCCGCCTTCCACTGCCCAGCCGGGCGTGGGCTCTCCAGCTCGACGACGGGCTCCCGCCACGCACCGACCGCCAGGAGGAAGCCTTCACCTCCATGGCCTGGAGCGCCCAGCTCCAGTGCAAGTGCTAAGTCGGGCGTGCTCCTTTACAGAAGGAGTGTTTAAGGATAGTCAACAGGCAGTCTAGGGACGATGCTCGATGACGTTCGATGACTGTCTTTGTTCTTCTGGTCATTTTCAATTTTTTCTTCCCAAATCCGCCTGTAGGAGGACACGCTCTGCGCCTCGTGGGACATCTCTCCTGCCGACTGCGGCAGCCTCCTGCGAGAGGCCCCCTCCGTGCTCCGTCAAGCCGGGCATTTCCCTTTACAGTCTACAGGGATATTCAGAAATAGTCAAAACATAGTCAGGGGACGATTTTTTTCCCAACCATCCTGTGGTGTTGGGTCCTCGTTTTGAAGAGACGTCGCCCCGCGTTCTCCTCTCCTCTCCTCTCCTCTCCTCTCCTCTCCTCTCCTCTCCTCTCCTCCTCCTCTCCTCTCCTCTCCTCTCCTCTCCTCTCCTCTCTCTCCTCACTCCCCTCCCCTCTCCCTCCCTCCTCCACTAACCATCATCATCGTTATCATCATCCATTTTGGCAACCCCCTCACACGTTTCGGTGGCCCCATAGGGAGCTCCACCGAAGGCCCATGGCTGCCGTCCGCATGCGTCACGCACACCCAATTCGGCACACCCCTCACACGTTTCGTGGCCCCATAGGGAGCTCCACCGAAGGCCCCAGTGCTGCCGCCCGCATGCGTCCGCACACCCAATTCGGCACACCCCTCACACGTTTCGTGGCCCCATAGGGAGCTCCACCGAAGGCCCCAGTGCTGCCGCCCGCATGCGTCACGCACACCCATTTCGGCACACCCCTCACACGTTTCGTGCCCCATAGGGAGCTCCACCGAAGGCCCCAGTGCCCGCGCCCGCATGCGTCACCCACACCCATTTGCGTCACGCACACCCAATTCGGCACACCCTCACACGTTTCGTGGCCCCATAGGGAGCTCTGACCGAAGGCCCCAGTGCTGCCGCCCGCATGCGTCACGCACACCCAATTCGGCACACCCCTCACACGTTTCGTGGCCCCATAGGGAGCCTCCACCGAAGGCCCCAGTGCTGCCGCCCGCATGCGTCCCGCACACCCATTTCGGCACACCCCTCAGTGCACGTTTCACGTGGCCCCATTGGGAGCCCCACCGAAGGACCCCAGTGCTGCCGCCCATGCGCCTCCTCACACCAAATTCGGCACACCCCTCACACGTTTCGTGGCCCCATAGGGAGCCCCACCGAAGGCCCCAGTGCTGCCGCCCGCATGCGTCACGCACACCCAATTCGGCACACCCCTCACACGTTTCGTGGCCCCATAGGGAGCTCCACCGAAGGCCCCAGCGGCGGCGCTCACATGCTCATGCGTCCCGCACGCCCATTTCGGCACATCCCTCACAGGTTTCGTGGCCCCATCATCCACCGGAGGCCCCAGTGGCGGCGCTCACATGCGTCACCCACACCCACCTAATTCGGCACACCCCTCACACGTTTCGTGGCCCCATAGGGAGCTCCACCGAAGGCCCCAGCGGCCGCGCTCACATGCGTCCCCGCCACCCATCCCGGCACGCCCCTCACAACAACAGGTTTCGTGGCCCCATAGGGAGCTCCACCGAAGGCCCCAGTGGCACCGCCCGCATGCGTCACCACCGGTACCCAATTCGGCACACCCCTCACACGTTTCGTGGCCCAAAAGGGAGCTGCACCAAAGGCCCCAGTGGCGGCGCTCACATGCGTCCCCGCCACACATCCCAGTACACCCCTCACGCGCTTCGTGGCCCCATAGGGCGCTCCACCGAAGGCCCCAGTAGCGGCGCTTACATGCGTCTCTGCCACCCATCCCGGCACCCCCCCCGCAGCAGCATCATGTTTCGGGGACCCATAGGGAGCTCCACTGGAGGCCCCAGTGGCGGCCCTCACATGCGTTTCCGCCACCCATATCGGCACGCCCCGCGCGTGTTTCATGTCCCCATCGGGAGCTTCACCGAATGCCCCAGTGGCACCCATCTCGGAACACCCCTCACACGCTCCGTGGTCCTATGGGGAGTTCCACTGAAGATGAAACCCGCAGCTGCGGTACTGACAACTGCATATGGTTGGGTTCTTTACCAGGCTAATTGTTCTCTCTCTCTCTCTGTCTCTCTGCTCGCTCTTGGTCTTCTCGCCGTTGTCTCGCTGCCGTCTCGCCGCCGTCCCGCTTGTCTCCCCTCTCCCCCACGCGCTGCCACACGCCTTCTATGGTGCTGGATGCCGCCGAGGGTGCTGCGCAGTCGGCAGCCGAGCAAGAGAGGAGGGCTGACGAGGAGGGCGAGGAGGAGTCTGGAGGAGGACGAGGGGGAGGACGAGACGGAGGGAGGAAGGAGGTGGAGGAAGGAGATGGTGGAGGAGGAGGAGGCAGTGCGTCGTCGTCGTCGTCGTCCCTCGCCTGCCTCCTCTACGTCCACAGCTGCTCAATCTGAACACTACTGTTTCTTCCTCCCCGGCGACGTGCCGAGAGCAGCGCGCCCCCCTCTCGGCGTATTGCTCTCTTGCGCTCAGGCTGTGTCCGAGCCGGTTTCTCCTGTGTGCTGTGGCAATCCGAACGTCCTCGGTCCTTCTCTATAGAACGGTGCTCCCGCTGCAGCGTGGGCCTCACTTCGGGAACGGGGCTGTGCTCCCGTCGTCTGGATGATGGCGCTGTCGACCCAGCGCGGGGCGCTCTCCTGGATCCGAGTCCTTCCTCGTCGCTGCCGCCCTCCTCCTTCCCCCTCCTGCGCGTTCCCCTGGCCCTCCTGCTCCTCGCGCTCCTTCCACTCCAGTTCCTGCTGCTGTGCGTCGTCGTCCTCCCTCCACCTCCTCCTCCTCCTTTTTCTCCTGCTCATCCGACTCATCCGCCACCTCCTCTTCCAGTGTACGGAGCTCCCGTTTGCCGATTGCGCACGACACGATTGGGCTTTTTTGGAGTTCCAGTTCCACTATGACGCGCTTCCGCGGATGCAGAAGACACCAGCGCAAACGGGAAGGGACGGGTGGGAGTGGTGGGATGTCAGCTGTGGCGCGAGCGCGCCCAGCTTGTCTCTCTTCCGTCGCCCCTCGCCCTCGTCCTCTCCCGCCCCCCTCCCGGAGGTCCCTGACGGTTCCGGGGAGCCGCCAGGTGCCTCCCCGGAGACCTCGGGAAGCCTTTGGAAGTTCCAGAACGATCGAAATCTTCGAGCCTGCACGGGAGAGACGAACTGCACAATCACCGACCTGCGGGGTTCTCAGAAGTCCCGACCCCTTGGCTGGAGCCAGTGGCTCGTGCTGGGCTTTCTTTTGCGGACAGTCCTGTATGCCGAAGGCGGTCCCCGACAGAAGTTTTTGACGTCGCGAGAAACGTTTTTTTTTCTGCTTCCAGGGAAGAGATCAACTTCACCATCACCGAGGAGCTCTACTGCACCTTTGTGCTGAAGTTCCGCAGCGGCATAGGCGACCACTACGGCGGGGGCTCCATAGGTCTGGTGCACCTCCCCGACAGGCAGGAGGCGACGCCTGGCTCACGGGGGCAGCTCGTCATGGTCACGAACATGAACGTGACCCGGCAGCGCAGAACGCCACACGTACATGTGTATTCATGCATGTCTGTATATGAACATGTATGTGTTTTGGCTGAAATACATGTACACATATGTATGTATGCAGGTACGTATGTATGCATGCATACATGCATATACGTATGCATGCATGCAAGTACGTCTGTCTGATTGTTTTGTATACGTGTAGACATATATATAGATATCATATGCATGTTTGCACACATGTATGTATTGATGCGGGATATGTACACTTGCACGTATGTATATATATATGTACATGTGCACGTATGCATGTATATACGTATGTACGTATGTATGCATTGCTGTATGCATGTATTGATGTATGCATGCATGTATGCATGCATGTATGCATGCCTGCACAGTTGCACGTGTGTATGAATGTGTGCGTGTGCATGCATGTATGTATGCATGTATGCACATCTATATATATACATATATACATATTTATAGGTATAGATATATGACAGAGCGTGTTCTACCGCTGCTGGCGGTAAACGGGAGGGGGGGTCACTACCGGTTCGAACCCCTCCCCCCTCCCCCTTCCGGAAAACGGGGGGGGGGTCTTTACCGGTTCGAACCCTTCCCCCCCCCCAGTTCATCATGAAAAGGGGGGGGGGTCACTACGGTTCGACCCCCCCCCCCCCCTCGAAAACCGGGGGGGGTCACTACCGGTTCGAACCCCCCCCCCCTCGAAAACCGAGTGGGGGTGCGGACAGTGGTGGGGACGGTGTTGGTGGGGACAGTGGTGAGGGGACAGCGGGACAGTGGTGGGGACAGTGGGACAGTGGTGGGGACGGTAGTGGTGGGGACAGTGGTGGGGACAATGGTGGGAACAGGGGGGACAGTGGACAGTGGTGGGGACGGTGGTGGTGGGGACAGTGGTGTGGGGACAGTGGGAATGAGGTGGAAACAGTGGGACAGTGGAGGGTACAATGGTGGTGGGGACAGTGGTGAAGGCGGTGGCGAGGACGGCGGTGGGACAATGGGACAGAGGTACAGTGGGGACAGTGGTGGGGACAGTGGGGACAGTGGTGGGAACAGTGGGACAGCTCAGTGGGACAGCGGAGGGGTCAGTGGGACAGTGGGGACAGTGGGGATAGTCGGGCAGTGGTTGGGGCCGTGGAGACAGTGGGGAGAGTGGAACCGTGGTGGGAACAGTGGTGGGGACAGTGGGGACAGTGCGACAGTGGTGGGGGCACTGGTGGGGACAGTAGGGACGGTGGTGGAACCAGTGGGGACAGTGGTGGTGAGGACAGTGGTGCTGGGAACAACAGTGGGGGATGTGATGCGGACGGTGGTAGGGACCGGGAGTCGTTTGCTGGCGGTGCGTGGGGGGTGGGGGGTCGAACCGGCAGTGACCCCCCTCCGGTTTTCGAGGGGGGGGGGGGGTTCGAATGGTAGTGACCCCCTCCGTTTTCGGATCCGGAGGGGGGGGGGTTCGAACCGGTAGTGACCCCCCCGGTTTTCGAGGGGGAGGGGGGGGGGGGGAGGGGTTAGTGGAGGGGTGGTTTTGCCGGGGGAGGGGGGGGGTTAGGAGGGGGGGGGGGATTTTCGGAGGGGGGGGGGGGGGCGACCCCGGGTTCCGGAGGAAAAGGTAGGCAATTTTCCACAGTAAAGCGGCGGTGGATCACGCTCTCTCTCTCTCTCTCTCTCTCTCTCTTATATATACACATATGTAAGCAAGTTATGTCTGTATGCATGTATGTATGTATGGATGTATGCATGCATGCATGTATGCGTGCATGCATGCATGTATGTATGCATGCGCGTTTGTATGTACGTATGCATGTATGCATGTATGTGTGTATGTATGTATGTATGTATGCATACATGCATGCATGCATGCATGCATGCATGCATGTATGTATGTATGTATGTATGTATGTATGTATGTATGTATGTGCGTGTGTGTATGTATGTATGTATATACGTACGAACGTACGTACGTATGTATGCATGCATGCATGCATGTATGCATATATGTATGTATGCATGTATGTGCGTATGTCTGCATGTATGTATGTATGTATGTATGTATGTATGTATGTTTGTTTGTATGTATGTATGTATGTATGTATGTATGCATGTATGTATGTATGTATGTATGTATGTATGTATGTATGTATGTATGTATGTATGTAGGTTGTGTATGTATGCATGTACGTATGTACGTCTGCATGCATGTTTGTATGCAGGTGTGCATGGATTTGTGTAGGTATGTACATTTGTATACATTATTGTATGTGCGTATGTACTTGCGGGTGTACGTACGTACGGATGTATGGATGCATGCTTGTATGTGTGCATGCTCTGTTCTGGCATGGTATATTATAATATGATATGCAATGCTAAGTTATATCATATTACGTTATGCATGCATGCATGCATGCATGCATGCATGCATGCGTGTATGTATTGGTGTATGTATATATGCATGTATGCACACATTCCTATTTATATATTTCTACAGGGCCGGGGACCCCGAAAAAGCGGGAAAAGCGGCACACGGTGCCCCCCCCCCAAACGAATTTCGGCCTCCCCGAGCCTTTGGGGCGCTCCTGCAGAGTGCTCCGTGTCTGTCCTGCGAGTGCGACGCGAAAAAAAAAAGCCCCCACGACGGCCAAAGAGGGCCCCGAGACACCCAAAGATCGGCCTAAGACACCCAATCTGGGCCCAAGACTGCCCAAGACGCGTCCAAGACGCCCCCAGTGACCCCCAAGAGGCATCCCAAGAGAGCCCCGAGAGGCTACAATTCTTGATTTTCCTGTGTGTTTTTCGATGTTTTTGGCCTTCTCGCTTTTCCCGCTTCCCGACGCTCCACAATGGCCCAAGAGGCTCCCTAGATCGCCCCAATACTGCCCAAGAGGCCCCCAAGAAGGCCCAAACACGGTCCAGGAGGGCTCCGAGACCGCCCAAGAGGCGCCCAAGACGGCCCAAGAGAGCACCAAGTCGGCCCCACGAGAGACCCAAGAGGGCGCCCAAAAATTCTAAACTAAATTTTCCGCCGTGAGAGGGCCCCAAGAGGCCCGGAAAGAGCCCCATGAGGCCCCAAGAGGCTCCCAAGAGGCCCGAAGGCGCCCCCAAGAGGCCCCCAAGAGGCCCCAAAAAGATCCCAAGAACCCCAAAACACCCCCAAGAGGCTTCAAAACTGCCTCCCAGAGGGCCCCGAGAGGCGCACCACGAGATCCCAACACAGCGGTCCCCCCCTCTCATTATCCCTTCTCTTCGTCGTCGCCTTCTTCGTCGTCGTCGTCGTCGTCGTCGTCGTCGTCGTCGTCGTCGTCGTCGTCGTCGTCGTCGCCGTACTACTCTTCAGATCTCTCCCCTCGTCCTTCACCCCTCCTCCCTCCTCCTCCGAGAGAGAGGAACCGAGAATGGAGGATCAAGGTTTTCGGATTGTTTGTTCTGGGGGGTTTTCCGGCCTGGGGATTTCCTTCAGTATCTGCGACTCGCCGGAAGCGTTTTGGGGGCGCCGGAAACGTCGCGAACGGCCCCCAGAGGCCCGAGTCATGGCCCGAAAACCAAGCGGGGGCATCAAGGGAGGAGAAAGAGGGGGGAGGGACAAGCTAGGTGCGCTCGCGTCATATCTGACGTCCTACCCCTCCCTCCCAGCCCTTACCATGGCGCTGATTTTCTCTATCCGCGGACGCGTGTCGTAGCGGACCTGTGGCTCCGCGCGCGCGTGCGTAGTGGGTGGTGGTGCGCGTGCGTGCGTGCGTGCGTGCGTGTGTGCGTGGTTGGTGGTGGTGGTGGTGGTGCTGGTGTGGTGCGTGGTGGTGGTGGTGGTGGTGGTGGTGGTGGTGGTGGTGGTGGTGGTGCTGGTGTGTGGTGGTGGTGGTGGTGGTGGTGGTGGTGGTGGTGGTGGTGGTGGTGGTGGTGGTGGTGTGTGTGTGTGTGCGTGTGTGCGCGTGTGCTGTGGCATGGCACGGGAAATGACGCCAGCGCTGCAGCGGGAGCACGAGTCGAAACGGGCGGAAGCGCGGAAATGAGGCCAGCGCTGCAGCGGGAGCACGATTCGGAACGAGCGGAAGCACGGAAATGAGGCCAGCGCTGCAGCGGGAGCACGATTCCGAACGAGCGGGGCCCGAAAATGAGGTCGGCGCCTCAGCGAGAGCAGCATTTTGAAATTACTCACTGCGTGGAGCTCCCCATATGTGCATCCTTTTTTAAAGGTAATATTATATATGGGTCTACAGGAACACACGTAAAACACCATGGACTCGTGCCCCAGGAGAGGCCCAATATATAGGAACAAAAGTAAAACAAGTAGGATTGCTTACACAGGAGAAGGACAATATATAGAAACATACGTAGAACATCAAAGAATCGTGCTCCAGGTGAGGCCCAATCGATAGGAGCATACGTAAAACACATGGGATTGGAGCCACTCCTGTTGCCTTCTGAGGCCTCCTGCTCCTGGGGCCTCTCGGGGCCTCCTGTTGCCTTCCGAGGCCTCCTGGCGCTTCCTGTTGCCTCCTGGGGCCTCCTGTGGTTTCCTGAGGCCTTCTGGAGCTTCCTGGGGCCTCCTGGAGCCTCTTGGGACATCCTGTGGCCTCTTGAGACTTTCTGTGGCCTCCTGATGCCTCCTGGGACCTCATGTGGTCTCCTGGGGCCTCCTGGAGCCTGTTGGAGCCTCCTGTGGCATCCTGAGAAGAATCTGCGCCCACGAGCCTGGCCACCAAAACAAGCAAACCGATCGAGACATCCTCAAAATCTGGCCCACCTGGGGGGTGAAAATGAGCGCCTCGCTCGAGACATCCTCCAAATCTGCTCCGAAAGCGAAGGATGTTGGGGGCACAGAAACAGGCAAACCGCCTGAGACATCCCCACAAAATGGCCGCGAACGAGCCCGTGCAACCACCCCTGGCGGCTCCCCTTAGGGGTGCTGAAATGAGCGCCTCGCTCGAGACATCCTCCAAATCTGCTCCGAAAGCGAAGGATGTTGGGCACAGAAACAAGCAAACCGCCTGAGACAT